AGTGCGATTTGTCCGGTGTGCGCGCAACCCTCTGCGGAGATCGTGCGCGTCGAGTGCGCGAAATGCAGACGAGAGTGCGATTTGTCCGGTGCCCGCGCAACCCTCTGCGGAGATCGTGCGTGTCGAGTGCGCGAAATGCAGCGAGAGTGCGATTTGTCCGGTGTGCGCGCAACCCTCTGCGGAGATCGTGCGTGTCGAGCGTGCGAAATGCAGGCGAGAGTGCGAATTGATCTGTGCGCGCGCAACCCTCTGCGGAGATTGTGCGTGTCGTGTGCGCGAAATACAGGCGAGAGTGCGACTTGGATCTGTACCCGCGCAACCCTCTGCGGAGATCGCGCGCGTCGAGTACACAAAATGCAGGCGAGAGTGCGATTGGTGCGACGCGCGCATGGCCCTCTGCGTAGATCGTGCGTGTTGCTCGACGCACTAGACTGAACACGTCACGCTTAACAACATAGACATACATACAGAGACCCACACACGGACTCGACATACTAGACTGAACATGTCACACTGAACAACATAGACACACGCACAGAGACCGATACAAGAGCAAAGCACATGTCACATCTAGAGCGAAGCACATGTGGTTCTTAACTACATCTAGAGCGAAGCACATATGTCACCTTTAGAGCATCTGCGCAAACAGACTGTGCATTTTCCGTGGCTGACCTTTCGGTGCTCACAGTGAGATTGCAGAAGTCTCCATACAACTTGGGCCAACTACCAAAATACCAACTCAACAGCAATGAAGAATATACTTGCAAGAAGTTTCAACGCACCCCACAAGCTTTTGCAACATTCATTTCCCACATAAACCTTTACAAGGCAAACAGAGCCTTCTTATGGCTATGCGTGTGCTATTTACCAATTTGCAGCCCCCTAGCTCGTAGGTCTGCCTCTTTGCCCAGCCATCATGCCAGGGAACCTTGGCATTGTTGACGACCACTTCTTCAGCGTCAGCCATGATGACCAGAGACAGGTGTGCCTCTGTTGGTCCTATGGAAGCAGGACATACGCCAAACCAGTCCATAGAAACCAGACACTGGGCTGGAGAAACCTGGCAGTTTTGGCGAGTGATCAGGCGGTCCAGTGGATGGGAAGACTGGGTGAGGAACAACAGCCGCAACTTCACAGATGCCTACACCATCCAGATCTGCTTCGGGTCGACGCGCTAGACCCAGACCAGGCAAAGACCCTGAATGGAGGTGAAAAATAATAAGATGTTCACACGATAACCAACTGCATGTCTCATACCGTGACTTCTTCCTGACAAATCCTGCGTGGACGTCGTTCTGCGGAAGCGCAACAAGTACTAGACATACACTATCTTTTCTGTGTACAAAGACTAGTCGCGAGCTGAACTGCGAGAGTACGCTAAAACATCTACAGTGCCTGCTGTGTGTCACCTCATGCTACTTTGTCACGTTTTTCTTTGAGACAGTCAATTAGTCAATGACAAGCATAGTGGTTGGTGAACTACATCCTCCTAGAAAAGCTGTGTCCTGGAGTGAAGGAAACGTTACCTCTGATCGTATATCGATGGACACATCTCCTCTGACAGGTCACTGCTTCGAGACACTTCTTGCGTGGCTGCCTCAGCAATTTTCTGTGTTCATTCCAGCTCGCTTTTTTCAGTAAGATTTCCTGCAGCCGTGCACGCTGCTTCTCCCCTTACCAGCAGCTCAAATGCTCGCGACGATGAGCTGGGCTGTCACCGCTTGGCCGCCGGTGGGGGGTCTGGGAGGCCTGCGCGCTACTTCGTTCACTATAATACTGGTCGCGAGCTGAACTGCGAGAGTACGCTAAACATCTACAGTGCCTGCTGTGTGTCACCTCATGCTACTTTGTCACGTTTTTCTTTGAGACAGTCATTTAGCCAACTGTGTCCTGGAGTGAAGGAAACGTTTCCTCTGATCGTATATCGCTGGACGCATCTCCTCTGACAGGTCACTGCTTTGACACACTTGTTGCGCACCTGCCTCGGCACTTTTCTGTCTTCATTCCGGCTCGTTTTTTTCAGTGAGCTTTCCTGGAGGCGTGCACGCTGCTTCTCCCCTTACCAGCAGCTCAAATGCTCATGACGATGAGCTGGGCTGTCACCGCTTGGCCGCCGGTGGGGGGTTTGGGAGGCCACATCACACACAGAGACCCACGCACTGCCTCAACTTACTCGAACACACACACATACACAGACTCATATACACACGGACATAGATACACACACAGAGACCCTCACACTACCTCAACTCACTCGACTTAAACAGTTCACACTGAACACTTAACAGATAACTCACACTCTGACTTCCTACGTGATGAAGAATGCTTTCGGGCCACTCGTCGTCTAGTTTTTTTGTATATACGCTTTGTATCCGACAAGTCTAAATATATGTGTTTTTGTTCCATTTTGACAGTTTGCTTATGGTTTGTAGCTACCTTGCCATTTGCCATTGTTCCTTTCCTGCTTTCTTCTTTTCAGGCATATCGACGAGGTCTTGCTCGCCTGAAACTTGGTGAGCCTCGCGGTGCTGCTGAGGCGTGTTGTTGATTCCTGCACTTTTCTCTTGGAACCCAATTTGTTGGAAAACTCAGAGAAGACACGTGATGTGAGATGTGCCCTTGCTTTGCAGGACCTTCAGAAGGCACAAAGGCCTGGCCTTCTTTTTTTCTCATATCACGTCTTTCTGAACTCATTGAAGGACGAGTCATTGTGAAGCTAGACACTCTCCAAGTCAGGCTAAGTGTTCATTGGTCACCTTTGCGAGGCTAGAGCCTCAAAATGCAGAGATTCGACAGAAACTGGCAGAGGCATGATCTGCTTTGGCCTGTGAGAAAGTCCCTTTTCCTCTCCATAGTTTTCAGGCAAGGGAGCTTGCTTCTGCTGTCGGCTGCTAAGCGTACGACAGAACATGCCACCAACATCAAACAACAATACATCACTTTGATACACCAGGCGCCCATTGGAGAGGAGGAAGTGGCTGTTGCTGCCGCCGCTGCCGGTGCACTTGGCAAAGATGGCGGGCTGCTGGAAGCTGAGCTTCCCATCACAGCACTTGTGGTGTGCGAGCAGAAAAGAACGATATGGGTTCAGGTACAATGAAAAGAGCGATTTGAACGAAGGGCGGCTGGCTGGATCTTACCAGGAGCCGGGCTGAAGGAGCTGATGAAGGATGAGGAGTAGTTTCCAAAGTGCCCATGAGGAGCAACGAGAATGGGTGCGCACCATCGACAAATGGAACGAGATCGTGGACATCTCTTTTGCAGATGAAGAAAACAAGAATTGCATTTCGGTTTACATGTCCTTGCCAGAGACCTAGTGACCTAGTGTTAGGTAACCTGCTCGCGTGCCAACCACTCTTTGCGGGTTATTCTCCAATGCACTGTAGCACCTAGGCCAGGCATCCATGAAATTGCACCTAACAAGGTGTGCGTGTGGATGACGGCAACAACCCTGGAGGTCCAGTGCTCGTGACCTGCGTGACCAGTCAGTCTTTGCAAGCCCCTTGTAAGGTTCGAATCATTGAGTTGCGAGGTGAAAACTGGTGCTCTGGGCACAGTTGAGCAAGAAAGTTTCAAAAGCCTTGCAAGCCTTGCAAGGTCTTGCACTGCTTCTTGCCTGTTGCCAGGTGCTATGTGGCGCAAGAATTGTGGGGACAGATAAACCCAGAGTCATGTGCTAAGGAAGTCAGGTTGATGCCAAGGTGAGAGGAGACATCGCTCATCACTGTCATCAGCCAAGGCGATCCTCCTGGAAGATCCGCAAAGATAAGCTGTCCTTGAAGCTGGACAAACGAGCTGCCCGCAGTGTGAAACCCAAGTTGAAGAGGATCCAAATGGTTCAGGCAATTTGAGAATATTGAGGTTGGGACAAATGGGAGAAGCTCCGGCGGATTTAGATTCGAGTGCAGCACAAAAAGGGACGTCAAGCTCGAGCCGTCATGAAAGCTGGACGTGTTTTCGCAGCAACCTTATCTTCACTCGACATGAATTGCTACCAGGACCATGAAGTTCCCTGAGGATGAAAAGAGGCGCACAAACAACTAACGAGAGGAAAGCAAAGGTAAGGGGGCGTATGGGGGCCTTATTGAAGTGCCGTAGCCTTCCTCTCTTTCAGATTTTTTGTATCTTTTCTACTGTATTTTTAATGATGACTGGATCATCAACATGGTGCTTTGGCTTTGTTGACAACAGGAGCCCTCCTTTACTGCAAGCACCAGAACCTTTACCTCCAATGGCACAGACGCTACGATGCTTGGCTGAATCCAAGCAAATGTGTTGCATGCGTTGCGAAGCGAAAGACGACTGAGGTGGATGTTTTGCGCCTGAAGGAGGCTTGAGAAATCTTGAGAATGGCTTGGGCTTAGGTTTTTGAGCTTTCTCCAGTATTACAGCAAAATCAAACGTCTACAAGAGTCTAGCAGTATCAAACTGAAGCTGTTTTGATGCTCGAGCCAGCGTCTTCGGAGTGGGATGATTTTGAGCAAGACTGCCTGACACTGCCTGAGCTGTGCAATGCTGCGTGCTTGTCAGAGATGAGCTGATGCCAGCCTTCCATTTCAGAAAAGGTTTACATAAAGACTCGCGGGAAACGCGGTGGGTCCTTTGGCAAAGCTAGTGGAGGTGGCTACTGTAGGGGACTAATGACTCGTTGCTGCTTAACTTTGTTTTTAGACTTTTAGACATGAGTGCACTCATTTGCTCTCTTTGTTTTCTCCAATTGAGAACTGGCGGACTCAAGGAGGGATTGCATTCTTGGGCTCCAACGACTTTTCTGGTGGACAGATGAAACGACTATTGTGCGGCTGGCACTTCACATGCGGAGTCTTGCATTTTTTCTGCTATCCAGGAGACTACGGCCGAAGTAGGTGTAATGCTCAGCGTGATCACGCGAAATCGTTTTTGGACTCATGCTCTGTCGACCTTGTCCCTGTTGCAGTCACTTCAATACGCCAAGTTGCATGCCCAGCAAGCCTGGTTTGCATGGCATATCCTGGACGATGCCTCCGAAAAGTCTGATGCCAGGAAGAAGAATGATATGATAACTGACCTGACCCAGCGCGGTTGGGTTGACAACTACACCAGATTGGATCGGCGCTCAGGAACTGTGCACGCTTTGCGGCACGCTGTGGATACATTCTTGATGAGAAAAGAGTTCCATCTATTTCTACATTGTGATGATGACATTTTGATGGGTGAAGGCACTCTGACACAGGCCGTACATGACTACTTGACTGACCACTCGAAACCATCTCGTGCGGGAGGCGTGCTTGCCCTCTTCGTAAATTCATGGCTGGACGAGCAGCTTTCTGATGTCTCCTCCAGCCCATACGCAACCGCACCATTTCTCGGTGGTGCTGCTTACATTGCTGATCGTCTGACACTTGAAGCGACAGGAAATCCCTGGGCTCATGCATTGAAAAACAATCCCAGAGTCTCACCCCATGAAGCACATGTGCAGTGGCTTCGACAATTGCTTCCATCAAAAGGTCTCCAAATTTGGATCCGTTGGCAAAAGCCATATGAATGTCAGCACCTGGGAAATGTCAGAACTCTGAATTTTGGAATGCAACCTGAATGGGAACCAATGTGGGCGATCGATCACACGAGCAAGAAAATTGTAGAAGTGCCAGGCTACAGCTCAGCAGATGTGAGGACAGCTCTGTGGGCACAGCAAAAGTGTTTGCGCAACTTTGTGCTCTACCAGAATTCGATAGCCAGAGAGCCACTCAAGCTGCCAACAACTGGCACAATTGAACATTGGTCATCCTGGACATGCTCAACGCATCACTTCCACTACTTGGAGATTGGCACGTCTGACTTTGATACCCTTTTGTCGAGGCATGTTTGGCGACCAGACGTGCGAGGTATTTCTATTGAACCCCTCAGGACATACTTTGACAAACTTCCTTCAGGCACAAACAAGCTACTGCTGAACATTGCCATCAGCGACCATGATGGCTACGAGACACTTTACTTCGTTCGCCCAGATGTGATAGATGCCCATTTGGGATCTGAAAGCCTGTGTCAGCGAAGCCACTTACACGATGTTGGGCTTACTGAATGCCTTCCAGGCTGGATGCGAGGAGCATCATCAATCAAGAAAGTGCCTGAAGGTGTCCGGCAGTTTCTGGGAGATGACATGCTGCGATCAGTGCTGGCCAAAGTCCAAGTGCCATGCATGACGTACGAAACATTGGTCACAGTGTATGGTGTTGGCTTCTTGATCGCATTTCAGAACACCAAGCTGCACAGTGGTAGCCTTGCAAAGTCAACTCTCTGATCAATGCCCGCAAAGGTTCGTTGGATATTCTGAAAATCGCTGCTCACTTGCAACCACAGGTACTGTATATTGGTGGACACTGAATGTCAATGTTTATATTTTTATGGTGATGTTTGAAATGCAAGTCTTACACTAAGCATTGTCAGCATTATGTAACATGGTCTGAAGCTACCAGGTGTGCTCTCTTAGGACACCGAAGGGTTTGACCATGAGATTTTGCGAGCAGTTCTGGCGTTGGGATATTCTCGACATTTGTGGCCGTGGCAGGCCAGTCCAACAATTCTTAAAGGTTTGACACATACAAAACACACAAGTTCACGCTTGCTCATTTTACCTTGTGTGCAGCTTCTTCCTTGCAGGTGCAGTTTGAAAAGAACATGCTCTCCGATTGGAGAACGTTGGACGAACAGGCACCGTTGATGCAAGTTGAAGTGCTGACCAGCAGGTTTCACAGGCTCATTCTGCAGGTACAGCATTTCCATTTGCATTGCCATACAGTACTAGTGTGCTTGCATGCTTGCACTAAGTCACTGCGCCCTCCCTGCTTTACATCAAGTGTCAATACTTCATTGTGTAAGGCCAAGTACAACATGTGTGCGCGCATGTTCAGAAGCGTTCATGAAGGTGTCCAAATATGCAAACCATCCGTGGCACTTTCTGCACGGTTTGAGCCAATGCTGGCCAGCCAAGGTAATCAAATTGCAGGATGCTGGGTACCGATGCCGGATGACCAACGTGGAAGTAGCCTCATGCTGGCGAGAATTTGCGGCAGAAAATGTGCATTGCGAGCGCATCACAGTCAAGATGCAGCAAATTCTATCCAATGTCAGCGATGTAAAGTTAGAGAAGCAGAACCTTCAGGAGGACTGTTTGCCGCAGGCTGGGATGCTTCGCCTGCCTTGGATGATGCGTTCGAGCTGCGCACTATGCATCGTATTGAAGCTGCTGCAGGGAACTTATATAAAAAGCCGGGAACAGGAATGCTGCCAAGGGCTAAGTTGGATCAAGTTTATACTCATGCCACAATTTGACAGGGAGTGGACGAGAGCTGGGAGACTGAGAGGGTTTTCACTTGCTTTCACCTATGCTTGCGGTGTACGTTGATTCACGATTCGCTTGGTTTCAAGGTCATGAAGCGGAAATAGAGGCCGGAACTCGACCTGAGGAGGTGCCCAGAATGTCATAGTCAACGGATATTTCAAATGCCATTTATTTCCTGCGAACGCCTCCAAACACACTGTCCACATTGATTCTACTTCAAGACATTTAGGTGCCGGTTTCTCAGCTGGAAGAAGAGCTTGCGGTTCTCGAATCGGTGACTTTTGCTTCGCAAGGGTCGCTAAGGACATCGCCAGCCTCTTAGTCACACTTTCTTTACCGGGCTCTTCCCGAACATCTTGTCTCTCAGGCTTGCAACGGAGACCATCCCACTGGAGTCTGTCCACGCAGAATCAGGCACGAGGATTGTGAACAAAAAGACACATGCAGGGAAGGGAATATGTCCGACTCCAGTGATACGGGGCCCCACATTACCAGACTAAATCTATCAGGTTCGCAGCAGGCTGCCAATGCGTGGGAGAATACGACCTCAAGAGAGATCAAGGCAGAAATGAAGTATCAATGCACAGGTAGATACTTATGTCAAGTGATCTTCAGCAGGTGAGAAGTATCCACTAAGACATGGAGTTGTCGATGTGTCAATCCAGTTCCAGTGCAAGGAAGCTCCAATTCCTGCATCTGTCAGCGAGCTGGAAGGCAGCAACCAACACAAAGTCTTGATTTTGAAAATTTGCATAAGAAGACAGTGGCTAGCGTTCTTACATTTTTGCAGACTTTCATTGTTGGACAGGCACTCGGCACTCCAACAAAATCATTCCTTAACTCACCAGGGGTTGCTGAACCACCTGGAAGTATCTTATATATATAGGTATTTGCGCATTTTTGAGCCGAGAGCATTCCAAAACTGATTTGCATCTTTAAACATGGGTACAGCATTTTAAATCTTAACCCAAATCTTTGGATTATCCAGGATAGGTACAGGTCTATAGTCTAGGTGAGTCTAGGCTGCTAGATGGCCGTGGAGTGACGACATGACAGAAAGCTTCTACATCTGAAGAGCAAATGTACTAGTAGCACTTTCAACCGCAGAGCTTACAAAGAGATTATTCCGAGACTCACGCTGGATTATTATTGAGTGCCAAAACCGCACTTGTTTCCTAGTAGCTACAAATTGGGTATGATAGTATTTACAGTTTTGGCTGCAATGCTTGTGCAAAGGGGTGGGTACCAAGATTGGCATTCGTTGCCCACCTATTTCCGATTTGTTCAATCGGTTGGAGAGTTGAACATTGAGATATCTTCAGAATAGGATTCCAGTGCCAAGTTCTGAGGCATAATTCCCTCTTGTTCCTTTTAAGACAACCAGCCTTAGACTTGATATATTTTGCAGGCATGGAAACAGAAGTTACTACGCAGGACATCTCATGATTTCACAGTTGTTGTCGACAGCGTGTTGCCTGCCCTTTTTTGTAGGATGCTCTGACACCCAAAGCACAGGCTAGCCATCCAGGTGGGAAAACTGTGGAAATGTCGTCCGTCGGGCGGCTCCGGAAAAGTGCTTTGCCAGGCCTGGAAGAAGACCTGCAGGACTGACTCATGGCCATAGTGTTTGTTCTCATTAGCTCAGGCTCACCTGGAATTGAACAGGACACTGTGCCACTTTCTCACCCAAACTCCGGCTCCAAATCTGAAGGTACCGTGCTTTGCTGCTTTGCTTGTAAGCCATTGAATATCAAACCACCATGCACCATGTACACTTGATGTACCAGACCTGCTAGGCGTTGCGGAAGTCCGACCCGGCGTCGTTCAGGACCTGTCAGAACTTTTTAGACCGGCAATGGATTTCGATAAATAGAAGAAGAGGAAACACAAGAAGGCAAGGGCCTCTTTCACAAGCCCCTCTTTAATGGGGCCTATCAAAAGGCCGAAAAGCCTTCATGTTCTTTGGCTCTTCTTTCTTGCACAACACATGTCCATGAGTCCAGATTGCCCGAGGAGTCCATTCACAGCAGCCCTGCCAACTCAGCTGTGACATCAGTGGGCTGCAGTGGATACCAGGCTGGGATAACCAACGAAACAACGTTTGGGCTTAGGGGTACTGTCTACCAGCTGTCAAGTCGTCTGTGGTTTTGTCACGCTAAAGAAGGCTCTTCAAGGAAGCTTCTACTGCTGACTCCAGGCGGTGGCTGGGATGCCAGCAGCCCTCTCGGCCGAAGACACTTGGTCTGTTCTGAAAAGACACTGTTGGTTTGTTGGGATAAACTTAGCTTCAGCTTATTTGATAGATAATAGATGATCATATCACTGGCTACAAGAGCATGCATCTTATTGTTTTAAGGTGCAAAGGATTCCATCAAAAGTGTCGGAGCTGTATCAGATAAAACGTCTCATAGTTCGTTGGGTTTTGTGAATGGCTGAATGGTTCATTGGGATTAGTCGGCACTTTTTCAGCAATGTGTTCTGAACCAAATGCCGTGCAACTTGCTTGTGCAACTTGCTTGTGGTGCGATCCAAGGACGAAGCTGTGACAGGCAAATGGACATCAATTGGCGCTGCTTTTTGTCAAGCCGAGTCAGTCATGACCAGGTCTGAGGCGTCGTGGCGGTGTGGAAGTGGTCGTTGATTTGCCTCCTGCCTTCAGCTTATGATTCAACGTGAATAGTTCACCTACACCTACAAGTCGAGCACCTTCACTTTTGAGTCTTGCGATGTGTTGAATAGTTCGAGGTGAGGCCTCTTTCAGGCAGGGTGAAAGTCGTCTTGGATGTTGAAAGGGGAGAAGCTGTTGCCGGGCCAACTTTGGCTCTGTTCTTAAGAAAGAAGATCACAATGCAACAATCCTTTAGACAACCCCTATTGAAGGGGCTGTTAACTTTTTTTAAATATCTTTGTTTTTGCTCTCTGCGTTGGCAGGTGTCTCAGCAGACACGGCATCTGGCGGAGGGAGACCTCCCTCAGGTCGAATAGCTCCTGAGCAGAATTAGCTTTCAGCAAAGGCTTTGAATGGAAGCTCAGCCCAAACTTAGGCAAATCCGACCGCAAGTACCAGTGCTGAGAATGACAGCTTGTGAGCCTCCAAGCAACTTTGCACCGCACTTCTGGACATCCTTTTTACTGTCAAGGATTTGCCTGGGAGTACGGCATGGGTTAGCACAGAGGGTACCATCTGCTGGGTGCGAATCTCATCAAATAACTGCACAAGGAGACAGTTGAAATTTGTGACGAGTGTTTGCAAGTTTCAACAGGCGGCGACAAAGCCTTTTGAAGGCACGCGGAAGCTTGCAAAGCTCTCATAGGGAAATCCCTCTCAATGATATCAATGCAAGCATTCTTCAATCTGTTTTCGAGTTTGCTTTGGAACCAAGTTGTAGAGGCATCTAGATCAAACAGAAAGGGATCAACAAAATAGAAAACACACGATCAAAGACAAATAAGAATAGCATCAAACATAATTATCCTGAGTAGGTCGTTCGTCCATTGGTCCCCTGGTCCTTCTTCTGGCCAGCTGGCCTCGTGGTCCATTGGTCAAAAAAACGCGGGGCGTGTGACATTCATAATATTTGCAAATTTGGTGCGACCTCTGCAAAGCAAAAAACTACCCGGTTGCCTTGGTCATTGATGGGGCAATGAGGTGTGTAGCTTTCGATGATGATCTACTTTGCGGCGCTTTTTGAGTCTGGTGGCGGTTTGCTCTGGGGGGAGGCGCTGCGCCCTCCCCCCAACCCCCTCCAGCGAAACGAAATCTGCACCACTTTTGCCAATGCACTACGCCTGCCACGACAGCAAATACTGCATGCCCTCGCCTAAGTTTTCGATTATGTGTTGCAAGTATCCTGACATTGTCCTCTGGTGGATGATAGGGCCGCCACCTTTGCTATGTCCAACATTTCTATCCTTTTGTTATCTTTTTTTTTCTTTGTGTTTTGGTTTGCTCTGGGGGGACTGCCTGATCCTTTTGTCGCCCGCCCTGCTACTGTTGTCCTTTCCCTACTCTCTTCTTCCTTTCATTGCTCACTGGGAATATTTGTTTTTGGATCCCTTTCTTTTTCTTTTTGATCCCCGTCGAAACATTCTGACTGATGCAATCCTCTTTTTTTGATCCCCCACCCCCCTGCAGACATCATTTGTCTAAGGTTGCCAAGCTAACCAGATCCAAAGGATTATGGGCCAACTGATACCAATAGCGGCAGATTGTGCGTTGACAATGGACAGACTATGTCCTCCCGGTCTGGATTGCGAGTATCCCGTGCGTCTGCGGTGTTCTAGCTCGCCGTGGCAGGCAGAAGCGCAGCGACGCAGTTTGTCGATAGGCGCCTTTGTGAGAAAATTGTTCAACTCTTTGGAGCGACGACTAGGAACAAGGACGCTACTCAGGGGCTCCTGGCCTTACTACTAGAAACAAGGACGCTACTCAGGGGCTCCTGGCCTTACTACTAGAAACAAGGACGCTACTAGGGGCTCCTAGCATCGCTACTAGGACCTTACTAGGAGCAAGGACGCTACTAGGGGCTCCTGGCATCGCTACTAGGAGCATTCTTACTACTAGCATTCTGCACATTCTTATCTGCCACAGCTTCTTTGAGCGACTTTGCCGAGGTCGTCGAAGTGTTTCAGGAATGCAGTCAAATCGCAAGCTTGTACGCAATGCCTTAGAGCACTGCCTTAAGGTGCCTCTGGAATGCATTTGAGTCCAATGAAACGCAGGAAACAAACAGGAAAAGTAACTCGCACTTCTTGCACCGGAGACCTGGAGGGAGATGCGAACCGTGAACAACGGGAGCAAGTGCTCAAGTCTTTTGACGACGACTTGGAAAAGTCCATTGCTCAGCAGAGACTTGCTGCAACGTTTCTTGCATTTCAATTTCTTTGCATTAGGTTCGACCGGTTCATCATCCTTTTTCGCAGCATTCACACAGGCCAATTTCTGAGAAGCGAGTTCCACTAGTCACTCGATGTCAATTTTAATCAACTTTACATACTATAATTCCCCAATAGCCATGCTATGGGGTCTTGCAAAACTAATAGGCGGACGGGCGCCATCGGGTCACCGTCAGAGCTGGTGGGCGGATGGTGTCCCGGTCATGTTTTGATGGCGTCCGGGTCATGTGATGCTGGTGTCCCGGTCATGTTTTGATTGTGACCCAGTCATGTTGTGATGGTGTCCCGGTCCTGTTTTGATGGTGTCCCGGTCATGTTTTGATGGTGTCCCGGTC